TGAGCCTGCAGGCCGAGGAGGAGCTGCTGTTCCTGCAGCTGCCCGACACCCTGCCCGGGCAGCCCCCCACCCACGACTCCAAACCCATCAAATCCGAGCTGCACAACGAGGACGGGCAGGTGGTGGTGGTGAAGCAGGAGAAGAGCCAGGTGGGGGCTCGGCGAGGGAGGGGTGGGATGGGGGTGACGTGTCCCCCCAGTCCCATGGTGTCATCCCCCCATCCTGTGGTGATGTTCTCCCCCATCCCATAAGGATGCCCCCCCATCCCTTAGTGGTGTCCTTCCCTCTCATGGTGTTGTTATCCCCCCCCATTCTGAGGTGTCATTTCCCCTCCAGTCATTGGTGTCATTCTCCTTCATCCCATGGTGACTTCCCTCCCATCCCGTGGTGTGATTCCCTCCCATCCCATGGTGTCATTATCCCCACCCTGGTGTCCTTTCCCCCCCATCCCATGGTGTCCTTTCTTCCCCATCCCATGATGATGTCACTCCATCCTGTGGTGTCATCTCCCCCCATCCTATGGTGCTCTTTTCCCCTCCATCCCATGGTGGCATCCTCCCCATCCCATGGTGTCATCTCCTCCAATTCCCTGTTGTCCTTTCCCCTCCAATCCCGTGCTGTCCCCCCATCCCATGGGCACATCCCCCCCATCCCGTGGTGCCATTCCCCCGTATCCCATGCTGTCCTTTCCCGTGGTGGCCGTGCCAGGAGGCGAAGCAGGCGGAGAACACGTGCACCCTGGCCGACCTCCCCGAGGGGCAGGTGGGGAAGCTGCTCATCCGAAAGTCGGGGAAGGTGCAGCTGGTGCTGGGCAAGGTGACCCTGGACGTGACCATGGGCACCCCCTGCTCCTTCCTACAGGTATGGGGGGCACCCCGTTTGGTGCCCTGGGGAGGGTCGTGCTGCCTCTCCCCATGACAGCAGCGGGGAAGGGTCCTGCTGGTCCCCCCTGGGGACACCTCCAGGCTCCTCCTCCTTCAGCAGGGACCCCCCCACCCTTCTCCCAGGGGATTCCCATGGGACTGGGCCGCTCAGGGGTGTCTCTCCCCTCTGGGACAGGAGCTGGTGTCCGTCGGCATCGGGGACAACCGGACGGGCGAGATGATCGTCCTGGGCCACGTGAGGCACAAGCTGGTGTGTTCCCCGGATTTCGAGGCTCTCCTGGAGCACAGGCACCGGTAGCTGAGGGATTCTCAGCCCCCCCGGCCCGTGGGGACAGTCCCTGCACACCCTCAGCCCCCCCCAGATGTGCCTTTGGGCTGTGGGGAGGGGTCTTGTGCAGCTCCGACCTCCTCCCAGCCCCGTGGGGGGTCAGAGGCGTCCCCCCAAAGCTGCTGCTTCCCCCCCCCTGTGCCAAAGGGGGGTTTTTGGGCATGTGGGACCGTGGGGTGTCCCCCCCTTCAGCTCCCTGGTGGCTGTGGATGCGCTGGTGGGGGCGGGACACACGTCAAGGGGGAAAGAACATGGAATAAAACATGGAATAAACATCTTTTCCCCCTGTGTGGAGCTGCTTGGGTTTGTTCTGCCACCTCTGCTGGGCAGGGGGGTGGGATCCCCGTGCTCCCACCCCATCCCATCTTAACCTGCACCCATTTTACCCCCCAATTCCATCTTACCCCC